AGCGGATGGTTATTTTGCATAAGAACCGCACCCACCGCATAGTCTGATGCATCTGCCGCAATTTCCAGGTTTTCGTCCCCCTCAGGAATTTTAAAACAGGGGCATTAATAAGCGCTTCTTTTAATCTTTCAAAAGCTGTTTCACTTCCGCTGTCCACGTAAATTTACTCTTTTTTCTTTTGATTACTAAGAGTGGTTCAACAATATTAGCAAAATCTTTTATGAAAGATCAATAGTAAGAACATAGTCCAAGGAAAGACGAAAGTTTCTTGGCGGTGTTGGGCGGTGGGAAATTCTTAATAGCTTTTATTTTTGAATCTTGCGTTTCTATACCCTTTTGCGAAATTTTATAACCGAGATATTTAAGTTCTTTAGTTGCGAACTTGCATTTTGAGGCGTTAATTGTAAGACCGGCCTCTTTTAATAATTTAAAAACTTGTTCGAGGTCACTAATGTGTTGTTCCAATGTACTACTCGTTATAATTATATCATCTAGATAAATTAAAGTTGATTTTCCTAGGACAGGCTTTAGAACAATGTCCATAGCTCTCTGGAATGTTGATGGGGCCCCACACAAACCCAAAAGGCATGCGTAAAAATGCAAAAGTGCCCGATTTTGTTATAAACGCGGTTTTTATGTATATCTTCGGGTTCTCATAGCTATTTGATAGTAGCCAGAACGTTAAGTCCAAAGTAGACATATATCTTGTCGATTTGATCTGTAATAATTGATCTCGTCTACAACCGGCAAAGGGTGAAACTGGGAATTTAGTTATGCTATTTAGTTTTCTATAATCGATAGCAAACCTCCAAGCCCTTTTATCCGAAGGAGGGAAACTCTTTTAGATCGTTCTTTTTCCTACATAATACGACTGGACTCGCGTATTCACTATTTATGGGCGTTATTATTTTATTCTTTAACATCTCCTGAATATGTTCTTCGATGATTACGTCTTTTTGTTTGTCATAGCGGTAAGGTTTAGTCCTACAAGGTTTTTCGGCATTTAGTTGAATCTTGTGAGTCACGATCTGACAGTTTCCCGGTTTTTCTGAAAACAAATAAGAAAAATTACTCACCACTTGCTGTATTGCTTTACTTTCCTGGTCATTCAAATGGCTAAGGTCCAATTCAGGTGTCTCCACCGGTTCCACCACCCTCTGGTCCATCTCCAGCACCACGGAACTATCTTGAAAATTTAATTTGGCCCTCGCGGCCCTTAAAAAGTCCATACCTAAAATAAGAGAGTGTTGGAGGTGTTTCACCACAAAAATTAATACTTTGAGATTTTCCTCTTTTACCTGTATGTTTAATGATACTTTCCCGATGCAGTGACATGTTTTTCCTTGCGCCGCTATAATTTCCGTATTTCTGGTTTTAAAGAGTCGTATCCTATAAAAATTCTTTTTAAAGAACTTTTCACTCATGAAATTTCCTTCTGCCCCTGTATCGATGAGGGCTTCTACTGGTACATCGCCAACCAGGACTTGTATAATTGGTAGCTGTGAGTTTTTTACGATGACTGTATTTAGATGTCTATTTGAGGGTTTTTCTAAAACTTCCGGGGTCTGGACCCTCCCTTTCACAGGCCCCTCTAGTCGTTTAGAGCTTTCCTTTCAATCTGTGTCTTCTGGGTACGCGGATGTTTATTTTCAAATTTTCTTTTTGGGCCTTGCCCTTCAAGTTTCGATGCGTTAGCTTGATAGTTCTTTCCCCCATATGAGCGATTTCCATTTTTTGTTTCCTCCTTCCTTCTGGTACTTTGAGAATATGCTTCCCCTCTCGCTCTTTCCGCGATTCTGAAACTTCACCGCCAATTCGAAAAGTTCCTGCAATGTGGTTGGATTTCTAATTTCAAAGTAGTCTTGGACAGCGGGTAACAATCTTGGTAATATTATTTCAATAATCTCCGCATCGGGTTTCTTGCCATACAGCATATCCGTTAGCTTGATTTTTCGTAAAATAAAGTCCGTCAATTGTGCTGTATCCCGTTGATTGAAACTATATAGCTCAGCTTCCAGCCGTGCGCGATCTTTCACTATGGGGAAGGCCTTTACTAACGATTTTTTGAAATTTTCAAATGTATACGTCGGGCTTCCAAATTCACCTAGAAGAAATTTGCCTCTATTTTTCCACCATAGCGCGGCCTGTCCTCTTAGTGCTGATGTGGCAATAGCACCTTTTTGTCTTTCAGGCACAGGATAGAGCTGAAAGTGGTTTTCTATACCTTCTAAAAATACGGACACCGAATTTTTTCCGTCGAAATAGACGTTTGGCTTGATTGATGCTCTCAAAGTCTGGACCAGGTATCCAAATCCTTCTAACTGCGTTGTCATTTCTTGGTGTTGTCCAGTGGCTTCCATCCAGTTTTCGGCCATTTCAGTTCGATAAGTGTTCGGGCGCCAATATAACGTTGCCTCTAACTAGCACGCAACCAAGAGGTGACTGTGAAAGCTTGTATAAACCACAGAGTCTTATAAAGGGTTTAAGTCCCTTTTTATTCAACGTACTAATTTACAATTGCGTCCTCTTGACGCTTACAAACTTTGCCAACTAGGCAGTCAAAATAAAATAATAACCTGAAAAGAAAATAAAGACAAGATTCTAACTACGAGGCTTTCTAAAATAACTAACTCACCGCGTTTTACAAATACCGCAGCTAATTCAGCAGACTTGAAGCTCACTGGAACAATTGCAACTACTTCCCGCCAAGCACATAGGCCGCAACGCGGGGTTCTTTAATTCTAGATTTCTACCTCAGCGCTCGTGAAGTAAGAATAACTCTCTCTCACCGAACTTGTTTCCTTCTATTTAAATCATACTACTTCCGCTGATAATTTGAATGCTTGCGCGTTCTACTCAAATTTACATATTCTGGCATTGGCAGTTCCAGGGGAAAGTAAGGCTTGACAGGAAAGATAGTTTAAACTTAAAATAAATGTTAGTTAAAATAAATATAAACCCTACATGTTGACAGTGTTATACATTGTCTTTATTCATATATTTGAAACACTTTATTTAATAACTGTATAGTGTATTTTTATTAGTGGCTCCTTTCCATGTTTGTTGTTTTTTGCTTCATAACTTACACTGGTGTGCAAAAATTAAGGACGAAGTCTAGCATATCAGCTGAACGAAGAGGCAGAGCGGACAGAAAGACCAATCAAGAGATTAAGTAAGGTGATGTACGGTAGCACATGCGCAGATATGCAGGTAGACGTAATGGGGGACTGTCTGAGTAGTATAAAGCATGTCGTCGGTGTAAGATCAGTATTTCTGGCAAAGAGACTGCACGCCGTATAGCAGTTAAAATCACACCGAGTTGCTGCCTCAGCGAGAAATGGCAAATAATCAATCTGTTAGAGGACATCTGGATGCTTTTACCCGAGGTCGAATCATTGGGAAGTTGGAGGAAGGCCGCAGTGTGACAAGTGTGGCTGCAGAGTTCGGAATTGCTCACAGCATCGTTTCACGACTTTGGAGACAATTTCAAACTACAGGAACAGCTATCCAGAGGTTTAGTAGTGGTTGTCCACGAAGAACCACACCCGCAGATGACTGGTATATTGACTTACAGGCCAGAAGAAACAGGCAGCAGACAGTGGGAGAAATCGCTAGACACACGACACAGGCGACTGGACGACCGATATCACGTTTTACCGTGGCCAGAAGACTGCACGGTGGTGGTCTGTTTGCACGACGCCCTATATGGTGTGTACCTCTAACGCCTGCCCATTGGAGAAGGCATTCTCTGTGGTTCCGGGAACACCAAAATTGGAGAGACAATGAATGGGGACGAGTACTCTTTACAGATGAGAGCAGATTCAGTCTGAACAGCGATTCTCATCGCATGCTCATCTGGAGAGAGCGGGGAAGCCGCAATCATCCCTCGAACATCATTGAAAGGGACAGGTATGGAAGGGGCGGTGTTCTCGTTTGGGGAGGCATCAGGCTTGGTAGTCATACAGACCTTCACATCTTCGACGCAAGTTCAGTCAACGGGACCCGTTATTGTAACGAGATTCTTCTTCCAAATGCGCGTCTTTTTAGAGGCGCTATGGGTTCGCAGTTCCTTTTCATGGACGACAATGCACCATGTCATCGCACAGTAGCTGCTGAACAGCTCTTAGAGAGTGAGGATATTGAACGTATGGATTGGCCGGCACGATCTCCGGATCTCAATCCCATCGAGCATGTATGGGATTTTCTAGGCAGATGCTTGGCAAGCTCGTACCTTACCACCAGTAACGATTCCGGAGCTTCGATTGGCACTGCAAGACGAATGGGCAGCAATGCCTCAACAACTCATTGACACCCTCATTCTCAGCATGGGCAGACGCTCAGGGAAGATCATATCCCCTATTAAAGACCGGATGTTTCTTGTTGGACACCCATCACAGGGATGTTTCGGCCTTCAGTCGCATTGCGCTCCATGCTACTTTTTCAATAAAGCTTCTTTTTATCCCTCTGATTTCTCTTTTAGTAAGTGTTGCTTACATTACTCATGTCCTTACGTGTTGGGGATCTTACGGTATTAAATGTGTTGATTTGGAAAGCTTTTGTACAAAGTTATATTGAAAAAAAACCGTCTCGTCCTTAATTTTTGCACACCAGTGTATATTGTAGACCTAGCAATTCTGAGTTGACTAATATTTGAAATTGTAGGTTTGGTGCAACTGAGGCCAGGGTTCTGAGTGGTGGCATTTTGATGAGCCAACTGAGTGGTGGCATTTTGATGAGCCTTAGTAAACACTTGTCATCTAATTGGCAATATTTAGCTATTTTTTAGCAGACAGGCAGTGTTTTGTTAATTTGGTGGAGACACATTTTCAAGGCCCTAGGAAAAATTTTAATGTTTCATTCTCTTAAGTATACAGTTTCTCTAAAATACAGAAATAACAAAATATTTTGCTACATTGCAGTAAAAGGAAATATATGGAATATATATGTACAATACACACACACATACATGAAGAAATATATATGTGTAAACATAAACTTACATTGATGAGCTGCAAATTTTAAGCCTTTACTTCTAACCCACATTAGAATGAGAAAAAGAGATAAAGGCCACAACACTTCAACTATGAGTCGGACCTAAACAGATTACAAATAACAATGCTCTTTTTTTAGTAGTTACATAAAACACACTAGCAAATCATTCTGTATTCAACATTCAAAATTTCAATAATTATTTCTTAAAAGAATAATCTAACCAATAAATAATGGCTATATATCATTAAACACTGGCATATATTATATAAATGACAGAAATACAAAGATAATCAAACCTGCAAGACAGCTTTTGAGATGACTGTTAAAAACTTTAATTAATTCATGATTAAATAAGTTGCAGTTTAATAGCACCCTGTCTAAATGGGTATTAACCTAATGGGAAAATTATTATTAGAAACAATTAGCAAAACTTTTAATGGATAATGTAAAAATGAAATGAAAAATTCTTGGTATAACAGTAGTAAAAGTAAATTATGTCACAGTATTTTGGAGCCGTTTTTATTTAACAATTTTTTTTTTAATTTAATGGTGCATAATATGGAACATGTAACATACAATAAAAAGCAAATAGATCTAACCAACTTTTTTGCATGAGTAGTCCAATGAATTTGTTCAAGTTCTTTTTTAATGCCTTTTATAACTTAGTTTCTTTATTAATTCATTCTTCATTCTGCTCACAATGTGTTTTTCTTATTTTGATATTGATTTAATTTACATAAGCAAATGGACTTATTATCCAGATTAAACTCTTTGAAAGTACAGGTAAATTGCTAATAGTATTTTTTTCCTTTGAATATTAATATGAGTCAACCATCTTTTCGTGAAATGCCTGATTTAAGGATGGACACCATCTACAGTACTAGCTGGGTAAATCTAGAGCTCACCATACACTGTGTCCGCAAAAGTCTTTATACAGCCTTTATTTTTATAACTGTTGGCTACAGATATATACTTATGATTGCAAAAATGTTTTAAATGATGCTAAGATTCATATTTCTGTATTTTTAAATTAATTTGCATAAAATACAAAATTTAACTTTTTATATGCTTCTTCAATCCCCATACTTATATTTAAAACTTTTGTATTCATTATAAAAAATAACACAAAAAGAACAAACACACGATAAAAACTAATGAAAAAAATTTAATTACAGATCTGAGATTTTATATTTTAACAATAAAACAAAGTTACACACATTAAAAAAGCTTGTAAACATGTTAAAATAATTGCACAAGCTATGTAAAATACTAATATTCAAAAAAAATCTATGCTGTTACTTGCCTTAATAAAATCAAAGTGTGCTTAAATTATTTTTTTTTTTTAAATTCATATAAGCAAAACTTTTGAAAGAACTCTGCAAAAGAATAATAAGCACTTTCTTTGTGTTCCTTACATTTGTTGATTTACAATGGGAAGAAAGCTGGTAATAAATTTTCAAACAATTTACTATATATAAATACAGTACACTAATGGAAAAAAATGGAAAATGAAGTACCAACCTGAAGGAGTTGTGCAAGATAAACAAAATAAATTTGGGTGACATGTTTGCACAACTGAAAAATGACGTCTAGTCAAATTTCATGCTAGATGGCTAGACAAATAATTATAGAACTAGTAATGCTACTAATGAACATGTAAATCACATTTGCTTTAACCCTCTGAGTGGCATGACTTGAATCTGCTCATGAAGACCAGTATTTAATCATCATTTATTAGCTAAATTTGTATAATTACTTGATTTCATCTCTAATAAACTCTCTGTATCCCCTCATAAACTTCCATTTATTAAGATGATACTTACATCATTAAAAAAAGGAATAAAGCAAAATATTTTAAATTATAGCCTAATATATACCAAGTGATAAAAAATCTCATCACTGGATAAAGTGGTAATGCCATTCAAGATGTTAAATATGGAATCTTTGTGTGCTTCATTTATCTTGCCAATTGAGTTCTGTAAATTTGAGGTATAAATGCTTTTAAGGAGACGAACAAGGCAGCATCAGCAGCTTAGTGACTCATCTGCGAGTCAGTGAATGAGGCCATGTAATAGGGCTACAAGATGGTGGATTCTTTTTTTGCAATATTACAGAAAGGCTTGGCAGGGATGCATCTACTGAGCATGTGTGTTAACAGCAGTAGTCATTGAAAAGTTCTGTCTCAAGAAGGCCAGAGGCTGGCTGCATACATGCCACCACTTAAATGGAAGACCACCATATTTTTTCCACATGTCTGTGGTACATTGCACTGCATCTGCAGCAGATATTAAAGCTTTGGTTGGCACCAGAGTGACACAAACTGTAACGAATCAACTCATGAGAGAGTTCCAAACAGGGCTTAATTTCTAAGATTAGAAGTGCCGGAGCCCTATGGAAGACCATCAGCAGAGAGGAACACGAGTAAATAAATAAATAAAATGACTATTAAACTCATTAATATTTTTAATTTAATAGTTAATTATTATCAAATTAATTAATAGCTATTTAATTAAAGTTGTTAATAATTGTTATTTAATCAATAATTATTATAAACTTAATTAATTATAATTTAATTGATAATTATTAGATAATTATTTATCATAGGTGGGGGGGGGAGTTCTTTTTATCATCACAAAAATTAAATATACTTAAAGTATAGCTAATGAAAATTCCAAGGCGAAACACATGGAGGTACCTCCATGGCGAAACAGAATGAGTGTATGAGTTGTGGGAAAAAAAAATGAGGGGAATCTTGATGAGAGAGAACGTTCCCTTTGACTGCAGCTTTCTGTTGCTATAATTATAGCCATCAAGCAGATGGGTGTCATGGGGTAAATGAGTCCTGAATCGTACTCCTAAATGTAAAGTTGCTGGTTACGCTCCCCCCATTAGTGGATACTGTGGGAAGACGATGTATAGGACGTGCTTAAGCAGTTTATCTCAGTATTTCACTCTTATTGTACTCACTGTCACTCAACGAGCATTTAAGAACACAAATTTTCTTTCCTGCGAGGATAGCTAACTGTAAGCATTGATAACAATACACTAGATACAATGGCATGGCGAGAAATTTAGATGTTCCTAAACTCCCCAAAATTTATTGCTTTATTTAAAGGTTTCCGCATTGTGAGTGAGGGGACTTTACTTGAACGTCTCATGTTCTCATGATTTCGTATTTCTAACACAATAAAGTAAATCAAGGTATGCTTATTGTTAAACTAAAAAGTTAGGAATTTCAAATTTTTCTTCTTTGCAATTGTGGTTCAATTTTATAAAAAGAAGTACCGGAGGTCGTCTTATTTAGGGCTCCGTTGCGCTCCGGCTAGAATTGTAAATTATCTTAAGAATTTAGAAGTACCGGAGCCAGGCTCCGGTGCAATTTAAGCACTGGACTAAGCCATATTATATGATTCTTCATAACGCTGGTGATGTAAATAGAATTAAAACTAAAACAGCCATTAATAATTTTACAGCAGTATTAATTATCCAGTCAAATGCATTGAGAACCAAAACTAACTTATTCTAAATAAAGATTTCATCCTGAACAGAAGTCACTTCCTTTCATCCTTCGGACTGCTCCTTCCTGCTCTCTTCTATCAAAATTGTAAATGTTTTGAAATAGGCACGAGTGGTGTGTCAAGTTGTTTGTGGCCATAGGTTTTTTAAAATAAAGATAAGTATTTAATCTGCTTCGGTTGCGCACTTTGGTATTCATTACGGATCTCCGTATCTACACTATCAATGTTTCTACAATATCGTTGCATCTCAGTTTGCTTGATTACACACACGAACACATGTATATATTAAATTTTCATTTCATATTTGCTTTATACGAATAGCAAATATTTGTTAAATTCAAATGTATATATTTGAATTTAACGAATGTGAGGGAGGGGGACTTTACTAGAATGTCTCATGTTCTACCGTCTTAAAGGGAAAGGTTTCCGTATGTGAGGGAGGGAGACTTTACTTGAACGTCTCATGTTCTCATGAGTTCGTATTTCTAGGGAAATAGAGTATTGCAAGGTCTTCTTATTGTTAAACTAAACCGTTACGAATTCTAATTTTTTTCCCTTTAAATTATGGTTCAGTTTTATAAAAAGAAGTACCGGATCTCATCTTTTTTAGAGCTCCGGTGCACTTCGGCTAGAATTGTAATATATCTTAAAAATAGAGAAGCTTGCAATTTAAGCACTGGTTCCAAAGCAGACGATTTGTAGCGGCCATATCACAAACTCCAAATCATTGCCACCTGTGACTTGTGATGTCAAGTAGAGCTCACTGGAGGCTGAAGTGTAGAGGTGTTGTATTCTCAGATGAAAGCTGTTTATGTCTTGGTGCTAGGCCAAATTTTGGTTAAAAGGTGGTCAGGCGAGTGCTTGGAACCAAACTGTCTGTGGCATAGACAGATTGAACATACACCAGAAATTAGAGTCAGGCAAGCAATTTCCTATGACAGCAGGAGCCCTCTCATCATTATCACAGACATTTTGACAGCAAATTTGTATGGTCTGGTGATTTCACTTGTTGTGCTGCCATTCTTGAGCAATATTTCACAGGGCATTTTCCAGCAGGATAACCACTTGTTCCCATATTGCTGCTATTACCCAATGTGCTCTATAAAATCTTGACATGTTACTTTAGCCTGCAAGACAGCCTGATCTTGCTTCAATTAAGCATATTTGGGACACGACTGAGTGACAAATTTGTCATCATCCACAACCATCACAGACCATTGCTGATTCGAATGACCAAATGCAACAGACATGAAATTCTATCCCACAAATTGGCATATGCCATCTGTACAACATACTGTATGCACGCTTGTATTCATCATTGTGGTGACCATACCAGTTATTAATGTACCACCATTTCTCATTTGAAATGGCTTCTCCCACACATACTTTAGCCTGTGACCTTCAAATATTGATCAAATAAATATGTTACCTAGGCAAATGCTTTCACTACACCTCATTCCCCTAAATTGATTTCTTCTTGATGTTAGGATTTTATTTTCCATCAGTGTTATTTATTTTCACTAAAAGTTATGAAGCACTATTTTCTTAAAATATAATATTACATACCTATAAACAATAAACTTAATAAAAATACTAATTAACAGATTGATATGAATTATGAGATTTACTGAATGAAAAAAGAACATTATAAGAATTGTAACCTTTTGTCTCTTGTGAAGAGTAAAATTTTTCCACAACAAAAGATATAACTGGTTCCAAAACCCCATTTTGTTTTTTGGTTTTCCCTGAAACAGAAATATTTAAAATGTCTTTAAAATATTAAATAAAATAACATTGTGAAATAAATGAATAAAACATGGAATATGAAGCTGCAATAATGAAAACATGTAAAAACATTTATATACAATTAAGTAGCAACAGTAATACAACAAAGTGAATGGCAAAAGCATTTAATGTTCTAGAGTTTTCTTGTAATGTACTTTAATAATACTTTTCCACCTACACAAAAAAATTTTCATCATGGTAGCAAGTCCATGGCTATGATGACTAAAATGAGTTAACTAATTATTTATGAAGAAGTAATGTGATTGGAATAGCTCTAAAAGAAGTAAAATAGCTGCCGATAAAAATGAAATTAACTTTATTGAGAAGTTAAAAGATATTATTTCCAGAAACTTTAAATAATAATATTATTTAAGACCTTTTAATTTGTATAACAAAGTAAAAGGGAAAGAAAATTGAAATGATATGAAAGATGAGTCTAAAAACATTAGAGTAAATTAAGAAAGATGCCAAAGCTCAAAAATATACAATTTTTTCTACTGATTAAGGTTCAATATTTATATTAAGCAGTATTAATTTAGACGATATGTTTGATAAACTGTGTTCTATACATGAAAGAGACTCTGGTTAACAAAAATATATCTTATATGAGATTTTTTTCCCTGTATTAAATATTAAGAAAGAATGGATATAGCTTTGCATATTAGTAAAATAGAAAACTTGGCTTCTTTGAAAGGACAGATTGATGAATGATGATCTCTAAAATGCTGGTAACTTTCCCATTTAAATGTAACTATTACATTAATACTTGAGAATCAAAGATTAATTGCAGAAGAAGCTAAATTTGAAGCAGATGATATTAAAAGAAATCCATTTTTCATTTAATGCTGCTTTAAAAAAATTGATTTATTTGTAAAAATGTTAGCCATATGGCTCATAATAATAGAAAATCGATTAAGAAGAGGTGTTTTAAATGTAACAAAACTGGACATTTAGCTGATTCCTGTAGAAAAGAATTTTATTAAAACAAACAGTTTTGTAAAATATGGACAAAAAATAATTATAATCAAAAAGATTATATTTCCCACTAAGATAAATGTCAAATTAGTACTAATAATCAATAAATAAAATTTTTAAGTGTAAATGAAGCAAATATTGATGATACAAGCAGTGCAATTATAGTTGAGTAGTTGATTCAGTTTCATCAACATCTATGGTTAATCATGAAGAACTCTTACCAGTTTTTAAAAATGTTGCATCAGAAATTTCTTTGACAAAAAGTCTGTGAAGTTGGTAATCTTCTATATCTGTCTAACAAAACGCATTGGGATTTAACTCTTGCTGTTAGTCTAAACAAGTAAACATGCAGAAAATAAAGTTTGAAAGATGTTTAAAATATAAAAGAAATGATTAGGTACTTGAAAGGTCCTGTCTGGGTCTTCATTATAAATGTTCAGAGAAATGTTTTACTTCAATGTAAAAATTAGAAGTTTTGTGTGATGCAGATGATGCAAGTGATAAAAGAAATGTGCAGAAACACTACTGGATATGTGATGTTTCTGCACATCTATTTAAGATACTAACTACTGGATACGGGATTCTATATAAAGGAAATCTTTAATATTATTTTCATTATCATTGAAAATAATGATGAATAATACACCAGAAAACCTATGAATAGTGATAACTAAAGTTAAACATGATATAAATCTTATTTAAAGATAAAAAGATACAGATTTGATTACTTTTATTCATACTTATCTCAAAATAAATAAGTTCAGTTATGAATTTTTGGATAAGAATAATTGCTTTGTTTGGGAATACATTTATTTGTAAACAGCATTTTTCTCAGTTGAAAATTAATAAGAAAAGAGCCTGATTAGCCAATGAACATCTATAATCCATGATGAAGATAATTTCTGGTAATTTCTCTCCAACTTTATCAAAAACAAAATGCGATTAAAAGTGTCATGTTATAGTAAGAAATAAAGATGTTTATAGCTATTTACATACATAGGTATTTTTATTTATGTGCCGGGGAAAAATTTAAGAAATAACAGAAAAATCTTAGGTAGTCATTATTTATTCTCAAGTTCTGTCCCACTGCCTGCCAGAAGTTATGGTGTTTAGGGGAGACTATTGTGGTACCGAAGAGCCCAGGTTTGAATCTCAGAGAAGGCAGGGTTGTAACTGTCTGTCTTTTCATAAGAGGCAATCGTGGCCAACTGTTAGGTGCCTTCACAATAAAATGGCTACCACTTCTGGCCTTAGGCATGACCAATACATGATAGGAAAGTGTCTGCCATTGGATTAAAAAAAAAAAAAGTTCTGTCCCCCTAGAAAATTTCTCTGAGTTTCCATAATTTGCTTACTTAAGTAATTTTATTTTACTTATTCAAAGAAATTTTACTTTAATTTATAACTTTAAATTAACCCTCTCAGTGTTATGGGCATAAAATTCTACGTATAGAAGGTACATAACATCTAACATTCTGTATAGAAGGTACATTCTGTATAACAGTCTCAATTTGCACCATGAATTCTTTCCTCCCAATATGCAAATTACTTTAACTGCCTGGACACATATCCAGATGCATGTCTGTACTTAAAAATATCATGAGTAATATTTTTGAATAAGGCAGGGCCACTTAACTGTTAATGCTTTTTGGGGTGACTAAAGTACGGTGTAGATGGCCTTTGTTTTACTCTCCTTTCATTTACCCACTTTAATTTTAAAGTCAACGTAAGACCAAGTAAAGCAAATGCATCTACACATCATTATTTTTTAGCAGCCCCCTCTGAAACTTTTGGAGACAATACTTGTTCATTTTGTGACCCTGCATTATGCTTTTACAAGATCATCCACCAGAAGTACAAGCAATCTATTATTTCCAGGGCTGCTTTGCCAAAAAACTGTAAGTATTTCAATTTTCATCAACAAAATTAGTGTCAGCAACAATTAACAAACAATTAAAACATGAACAGGGATATGGTTTGAAGAAGTGAATAACCTTCTTAAGTTTATCAAAGTTAATATGAAGGCAAAGACAAGTCATGAAGAATAACAATCCTGTACAAAAGCCAAATAATACTCACAGGAAATGAAATTTAATCTGCCAAAGATGAAAATATATTTCATCATCAAAAGATACCAACACATTGTTATGGTGGCATAACTATCAGCACTACAGGTATCAGTAGCATATCAGTAGCAAGAATTGGTATAAAGTATCTTTCCTAATGATGACTTTTTGAAACTGATATATATATATATATATATATAAAGAAAGAAAGCAACAAGATAAATGAAAAAGATTAAATGAAGAAAAAGAAGCCACAAACAAAAAAAAAAAAATTATGCCAAGAATCTTACGATTTCAGCAAGTCTGAATTTCAGAAGTTTTATGGATTTTAGATCATCAATTTAAATCTAGTAAAATGACATGTAAACAATTGGAGCTTCATTTATTGTTTAATTCAGATAGAACATTGCTAACCCTCCACAACCACTCAAAGATCGAAAGTATAATCATGTAATCATGGCCAGCATCAATAGAAGGTCAATCAACGTACTAGCTTTGGCCATAGTGTGGTCCAGCAGGTGCTGATTCGAAGAAAAATTCCATATGTTGAAAGAATGCTTGTAAATACATATAATGCAACAGAAGAACACAGCTATTATGTTATGGGTTCTTTTCCCTTAAAATTTTGATGCTTTTCTTGTTCTGGTGTATTTTTTCGGTGCCAAGCATCACAGACTGGTCTGGCTTCTTTCCTAGTAGTAACTGGCTCTATGACTTTTGCTTGTGCAACCATACTTTTCATCCTAGCAGTGTCCCTGCAATGGATTCCACAACTTGGGATTGGCCAAGAAATGAAGAAGAAGTTATCTTGTTTCTTCAATAAAGGGAAATTCTTCAGAAAAAACTATTGCATTTGAATAATTACCTCAAATTAAAATGTAACACATAGCCTTTTCTCTTGCAGGAAAGAAAATGGCATTTGCTCATGTTACCACCATGCAATTCATTTATTTATGATGCCCAGAGTTTATGTCTACTGAGTGCTAAGAACCAAAGGTAGCTCCAAATGCAGTGCGAGTTTTTGGGAGGTTTATGCACCGCATGGCATGTCATTTCAAAATAACTTCAAATTGATTACAATGCACAATTCATGTAATTAAAACTATTTATAACAGGATACAATATATATTAATTTTTAAGGAGAGATTCTAAATTTTATGTTTGTGTGGTTATTTACATTTTATAATTTTGTATGTAATTTGATGTATTGATGCAATTTTTTTTATTTGGCTTAAAAGTGAACTTAATTCTTAAATTGCCTTGTTCAAAAATATTGAATCAGTTTCTTGCTTTTTACAGGATGAATCTGAACAAGTGGGTAAAACTTTAAGGGGTGATAGAAGCCAGCTATACGAGCAATATTCATCATAGAATGTATGGTTGGAATGCAAATGGCAAGTCGCTAGGTGGCATTGTAAATGGTATAAAAGGGTCAGCCCTCGCACTCAGTGGCACTTTCTACTGTGACCTGCTGAAAGGATGGCTGGTTATACGCACCACAAAATGATAGACATACACTTTGTGTAAAGTGCGGCGGAGGGGAATGCGAATGAGGAATAGAGACTTTACTGGGACTAATTTCCAATGAGATGCTCTCCAAATCAGAAAACATTCGAGCATTTTCATTAACAGCTGTGTGAAGCGGAATCCTTCGCTGTAGCCGAACAAGACAGAGGGCATGAAAGGAGCATCAGGACACCAAAACTTGAAGAAGACATTCTGTGTAGGGTGAAAAATCAACCAGGATGTAGCACAAGTTTTCCGTGCTGTAAACGTGTCTTTAATGATGGTTTGTCGTATGCTGCAGGAGGACGGAATGCACTCCTATTGTACACAGAAGGTACAAACATTGTTACCAGTGGACTACCAGCCACGAGTTGATTTTACTGCATTGATCACAATGCAGAGCACCCGGATTTCAGTGAACATGTTCTGTTTACTGACGAGTGCACTTTTAGCCATGAGGGTGTTTTTAATACCCAGAACTCACACACATGGGCATCTATGAACCCACATGTTCTCATTCATTCCAGCGGCAGTTCTCCATAAAGGTTTGGGAGGAGATCCCCCATGACCATTTGGTTGGCCCATACCTCCTGCCATACCGTATGGACAGTGAATCATATCATACATTTCTATGAGAGGTGTTGTCAGAGCTGCTGCATCCAATTCCAATACCCATCAGGTCAAGAATGTGGTTCCAGCATGATGGTGCATCTGCACACTTCAGCTTAGATGTGTGGAACACTTTAGATGCAATGTTCCCAGAGTGATGGATTGGTGGAGGTGGTCTCATAGCTTGGCCACCAGGATCAGAGGATTTCTCGTGTTTGGACTTCTTCCTGTGAGGCCATATAAAAAGCCTAATCTACAAGTGCCCCATTGAAACTGATATGGATCTAGTTGTCAGGATTGTTGTTGTTGCTGGTGGTATTCAGGGAATACCTGGTGTCTTCGCTAATGTGCATCAATCTCTATCTCGCTGGTCTGAAATCTGCATTACAGCTGGCAGAACGCCTTTTGAAAAATTTCTATGAGCATGTTCTGTTAACAAAATGTTTTCTGAAATATCTCCTCTCATTCTTGTGTTAATTCTTTAAATGTGACAATGGAAAACTACCCTTTCACTTTTCACTGCTGTCATTCCTACCACACATTCTATGACGAATATTGCTCATATAGCTGCCTTCTGTCACCCCCTAAAGTTTTGCCCACTTCTTCAGATTCATCCTGTAAAAAGCAAGAAACCGATTCGATACTTTTTAACAAGGCAATTTAGGAATTAAGTTAAGCACTTTTAAAACAAATAAAAAAATACATCAATACATCAAGGGCAGTCATATCATTAATTAAAATTAAACTTTTATGCAATTAGGATCTGTGACTTTCTAAAAATTTTTAATTTTATTAACACAAAAGGTAATAAGACATAAATTTATTGAACTATTGTTTTCAAAACTTTTGTTCAGGTTCTTACCCTAATTGTTCTCTTTTCGATAACAATTAGACTAAGAATATTAAAAGTTACACAAGTTATAATATTCATAATTGCATATGACATATATTACATATATTTTGATTATGTTTTATACTGTTATAGAGAAAAATGTAAGGGGGCCGATGAAGAAACACGTTCTTTTAAATAATTTGATAGATGAAAAAGATTGGAAATCCCTGCTCTAAATGGTATGGAAAGAAAAACATAAACATTCAGGATATATTTCATGAACCAACAAATCTGTGATGTGATGTCCATTGATGGTGTACAAAGGCACAAGAAATACTGCTCATTAATGCTACAAAACATTTTCTGGGCAATTAAAGTTTTTATAAAGCACAAATTTTTATACATAAAATAAAATTACATTTATGTCCTTATTATAACTGGTGTCATACTTTTCCAATAAAATTTTTAATTAATATGACTAAAGAAATTTCACATGATTCATTGTCATACAAAACTAATCAATATTTATGCCTGCATGTCAAAAAAGGGGGGGAAGAGGGAGATACAGAAAGCTGACTAATAACTATATTAGAAATGACAAGTAATTATCTGGACCCCAGAGTAATTTCCTGATAATTTAAATAATAATTATTTAAATGATTATTCAATGCAAGTTGCATATGTACTTGCATTGAAGTAAGCAATCTATTATATGAACATTAAAACGTTTTTACTCCAAAACAAGAACATTTTTGTTATAACAATACATGTTATTGATTTCTCAACAAGAATTAGATCAGATAATCCATACAGAAGAAACAATAAACAAATTTCTCAACTAACGTACTTCTGATATAAGGATAATTTCCTATGCAATTCTTCAACTAGGTACTTTCATAGTCATAAGATAATATATGGTAGTTTCACACAAGTGTAATTCCAAAGAGCTGAGAACTAAAAAAAAAAAAACAGTAAATATTACTACTTACTCTTTTTTATTTAAGATAGAATACAGAAGTAACAAATATTTTAGTTCTACAGGTTCTCGTGTATCATCACAATAATGGATTAAAATATTTATCAGTCATTTTAGAAATGGAACAACAAAAAACATGAACGTATGTAAAATTTTCATAGATTTTTCATTCAATTATTTTTTTATTTCATTTTTTACATCATATGGTAATCAGGTATTTTGGTATATTTCCGTAGTTGTCTATAACATCAGAAAAAGGAAGACAGAAGATTTTCTATTAAAGTATTTTATTTAAAAATCCATTAACTCCTAAAATGTAGTAATCCTGAAAGCTAGAAGAAAGAACAAATCGTAAGACTCCAATCAAATTAATTAGAAACATTAATGAGTATTCTCACAACAGGGGACTTACCCTGTATTTGCCTTTTATCAAAAGCAGAAATCAGTAAATTATCGGACGAATGTTATTGATCCTGCTGTGGCGCCAAAACTCAAGACGATAGAAAGTCTATGAGGTCATCTTAAAACAATAATTATACGGAACATGAGATGAACAAAACCTGTAATGCTGCATCGTCATGTTGCTGAATTGTTTTGGTGATCTCTCAACAATCAAGCCATGCTGAGAGACATCAGGGCAGTGTTTGTATGCATGAAAAATAAAGGTTGGTTAGCAGTGTAGTTTTATATCTGATTATAGTGGTAAAATGATAACTATTAACAAATGTGAAACAGGACTGCTTCAATTAACAGATGCTAAATAGAACTGCTTTAATAGCATTTTTAATATGTTTAATGCATAATGACGACCATCAAGGGATATGGTAGGTTCTCTTCGGGAATACATTGGTTCATTCTCCTGGTACTGTAGTGTAATTTAAAATAATAATCTAGCAGTCTAATAAAAGTAATTTCTGTATTTATTTATTTATGCATTACTGCTTTTTGTGTGGTTTAGTATGGTAATGTTATCAGTCAGAGAATCTTGTTAACGTCAGTTGAGAATCCTGTTAACGAGTATCATCTGCCTAATAAAACAATGAAAATATATTTTCATCAATTGCTAATTAACTTACCATATGGAACAAGATTCCATTACCATCAAGAATTGCATATGGTATTAGGTGAAGAACTTGGGTAATTTTCTAAAAATTGAATATAATTAAATATCAATACATTAAAAATTCAGCGTTTGTTTGGCAATGATTTCAAATGTTAAGTCTGTATATTTCGAGTGCTGAAGAAATATCTTTCAAGTCTTTAATCCAGACTCGTCGAGACTTTGGCGATGCCGGATTAGGGTTTTTTCCGGATTATAGATCATCAATTTAAATCTAAGATGGCATGCAGAAATTATAAAATTAAAAATATGAAAGAATATTTTATGAAATAAAAAGCAATTATGATCTAAAGAGTATCAAAATTACAAAAAAAAAAGCTTAATATTATTGTTTACTTATAAACATTTCTTTCAATGTAAGTTGTTTAAATTGCTTCATTTATGTGCTAATACTTTCTCCTTAATTCTATAAACAGACATAATTCTCGTTCAGTTACAAGTCCGCTGTTCAAGTCCTGTAATTGCTGTGCCGAGGAAACGATAACTTGTCAATCGAAATTTCATTTTCACTAACTCTCTGTCACTTTCTTCATGCCTTATCCATTTTTTGCAGCAATTCCACTTTTTGTTTGATGGACATTGAAACATGCTTTCACTTTGTAGATCCTTTGGCAGCTCCACAATCGGAAACTCTTTTTGACATAATCGAAAGTTCAAGCTCACTTTTTATAAAATTGCTCTAACAGTGTGCAAAAAATAATAAGCTGGATCCAATTTGAAGATTAAGGAACAATGCAATCTGCAACATTAACTGAAATGGATAATTACATAATTTTAGCCTAGCTTATATCGTCTGTCATACATTAAATGTGCATGCGTAAACATATTATGCACACATCCGTAAACATATTATGCGCATGTGTAAACGCTATGCATGCGCAGAAAGTTTGAGGCTTTGAGGTTCATGTAGCTTTGAGGTTCGAATTATAGATCATTCCGGATTATGGACGTCTGAATTAAAGACTTTGTACTGTACTGGAATTATTGTGAATTTTCACTGATATAAAAAAAATTCTCTTTTAATAATTGGAAAAAAAAAATGCACAAACTAACCAGCTAATTTGGTATCAGGAGGAAAAGCAGAAATATAGTAGAGATCAAGTAAGTATTCTAGTATAGATTTTAATGGATAAGGTAAAAAGAAGAAATTAAAATTTTGAATAAAAGAAAAGGGGATTTAACATGTTTTATTTATTTATTTTTTAAAATTTTATTCCGTATTGATACTACATGGCAGCTATGTAAATAATTTAATTATCTAGCCAAAACAGTAATGCATATGCAGTTCAGAAGCATTATTCAATCTTTACCCTAAACTAAGTCTTATTCATGCAAGGGAAACATTCAACATGGAACAATAAAGCAAACACCCTTGACTCGCTTTCATTGGAAATTCTAATGAATTACAGAAGGTTCTGATGCCAAGTCACTTTGTTACTGCAACCTTTGTCACAAGCTTGCCTCCAGAAATTTGGAAACTTTTTCTCAATAAACCCAGCCATTACATTGTCACTAGAGAAGAATCACTGATAGCTTTCATCATTAATCACTTGAAAGGGTTCATGCCATGGAGAATTAACAATATGCAGCTTATTTTGTGTTGTATTTGAATTTTTTTTTCAAATAAATTTTGTGCAGACCCTAATGGAACTTAACCTGAAACATGGACCTTAAGAGACTTACCCACCAGATGAGGCATGCAGTCCCCACATGTTTGAAAATCTCAAGTTAGGACAATCAGCTTTATTGTAACATTGAAACCTACACCAGATAACTGTTTTTAATTATTAAAATCACACATTGCAAGAGTCATGAGAATGTGAAATTCACAGCTTTTGCAGTTAAGATTAAATACAAGGTGTGACACAAAACAAAAACGAGACTGGTCCGATAAATCATTGTACTTACAGAATCAGTTTCCCATGACATTATCACCTTCAAAGTAGTTCCCTTCAGCATTCACACAGTTCTGCATTCGATGCTGCCATTGCTTTTAACAGTTTTGGAATGAGGTTTTAGGAAGGCCCTTCAGGAGATTCTCCGTTTTTGCCTGAACCTCTTCAGCTGAGGTAAAATGGGTTCCCTTTACGTACGATTTAACTTTAGGAAATAAAAAAAAGTTGCATGGAGCCAAATCAGGTGAATAAGGAGGATACCCCCATCACAATAATGTTTTTGTTGGTTAGAAACTGCTTGATAGCTGTGTGAGCGAATGCACTGCCTTGGTGCAAAAGCCATCTGCCACTCCACAACTATGGCCTTTTTTTCCTAATTTTTTTCAAAAAGTCTTTTTATAGTACATCAATGTAGTAGTGTTGACTAACAGTCTGACCACTGGAAACCCATTCAATCATGATGAACATTCTGATCTACCACACTGTCCCTTCCCCCTGAAAAACCACTTATGCCATTCAAACACACATGAACGAGACAAAGTTTCATCCCCATAAGCCTCGGTTAACATTTGAAATGTTTCTTCCATGGCTGATTTCTTAAGTTTCACAAGAAACTTGATGTTGATTCATTGTTCGGTTTTTAAATTAGACATTTTTCCGGCAGAATGCAGTTGCACGTGTTCACTCAATGATGCAGTATTCCCCACTGATGTGGTCAAAAGTCGAAACCAGCAGCATGGATCTAGGAGGTGTGTGGCATGATGTCACCCAAACAGTCACCCTAACTCCACTCTGTTTTAAAGCTACCCACTTAATCTCGTTTTATATATATATATATATATACAAATGACTTTACTCTGGTAAACCAGTAATAAAGTTTATTCTTAAAAATTACAATATTCTAAAATTGAATAATAATGACGACATTAAAAATTCAGCGTTTGTTTGGCAATGATTTCAAATGTTAAGTCTTTGTGTATTTCGAGTGCTGAAGAAATATCTTTCATCAAGGAGCAAATTACATTACCTATAATTTTGGCCCATAATTTTAGGCAGTATAAACTTTCTCGTACAAAGGAATTTCTTTCAAAGTTCATTGAATCAAGATTATTTTGAAAGCCAAGGAAAAAAAAAACTGATTAGTTCTATTAATTCTTAGAAATGGATTCCACTTTCCATTTAAAATTAATCTTTCTTCGTCAAAAGTGCAGATAAGAAATTTTTTAGAGATTTTTACTTTTAATCAATTTTTTTACTTTTTACTTATTTTATAAATTATTTTTGTATATTTTCGCTTCCTTTTCTTGCAGATAAACTCTGACACAATTTAAAAAATTGGTATAAATCTTATCAGTAATTACTAAAGCAATTTTTAGAGTACTCCATTAATAAATCATGTACCTCAAATACATCTATCAATAATGTAGAATCTTTACCTTCAAACCATTAGTTTTATCCATAAAAATATAAATGATTAACCAAGCTGTATACCACAAAGGCTGAGTTTTTAAGATATAATCAATCAAAAGTATTTGCTTATATATAATTAAAGCAATTTTTACATTTAGTAACTTCACTAAAAGTATAACACAATTTTTTAGGAATATTTACAAAACTCTCATACATTTGAAAAGATAGATTAGGTAAATTAGACTTTAAAATTAAACGCATTAATCTGCGCTTAAATAATCATTTTTCTATGATTCATAATATTTAAACTATATTAACACTTATATGCTACATTCTAATATCTAAATGTCTATGTACTAAAATCTCATTGGTATATAAAGATCAGAATGTAAAATAAAACTAATTTTATTATTTAATCAGATAGTCTGATTCATGTTCACCAACAGTAAAACAATCTTTTAGGAGGAAAAATAAACATATTTTACTCTTTTCAAAACTTATTTATTGCAGTATTTTCTGTATAATTATACAATGTTTGTTTACCTAAAATAAT